CTGGGCTTGGGTACATGGAGAAGAGGGAGTAGGAGGGCATTCCAGGAAGTGAAAGAAGAATGCATGGTGAGCTTAAGAAAAAACAAATCAACTTGACAGGAGCAAAGCCTTCACCCATCCTTTCTGTATTGATTTAGCATTCCCCATGTGCAAAGCACTGGTGGGGTGTTGGGAGGTCATCACGTGGGTATAATGTGTGGCCCCTGCTCTAGAGGAGTGACGATCTAAACATGTGCAAAAAAGAAGGAGTAATTAAGGTATTTAATCTCCTGAGGTCATCCCATTCCCTGCTTTGACTTAAACAAGGTGAAGAGTATTGTCTCTAGGGGACCACGGTTACATGCCACCTTTGCTGCCTGCTGACGGAAGGAGGACACTGAGGAGGCTGATTACTCTCTCAGTAGCCAGCTAATACCTTGGTAGACATTAAATGGTGATGGTCAACAGAGATAGTGTATCTAGCTGATAATCAGGGCCTGGCAAATTGGACAGACATCCCAAACTTTCCTCTCCCCACTCCACACTCTCCAGAATTACTTGTGATCTTTTCCCCTTCTTCCTTATTGAATAGCTCTCCTTCCATTCTCCTTTGCTGCTTAACCATTACTCACAGGACTTAAAAAGAATAGAGTTACTCAAGGGCACTTCTTTTGTGTGTGTGTATTTTATTTATTTTTTTAAATAATTATATTATGTTAGTCACCATACATTACACCATTAGTTTTTGATGTAGTGTTCCATGATTCATTGTTTGTGCATAACACCCAGTGCTCCATGCAGAACGTGCCCTCTTTAATACCCATCACCAGGCTAACCCATCCCCCCACCCCCCTCCCCTCTAGAACCCTCAGTTTGTTTCTCAGAGTCCATAGTCTCTCATGGTTCGTCTCCCCCTCCGATTTCCCCGCCTTCATTTTTCCCTTCCTACTACCTTTTTTTTTTTTTTAAACATATAATGTATTATTTGTTTCAGGGGTACAGGTCTGTGATTCATCAGTCTTACATAATTCACAGCACTCACCAAAGCACATACCCTCCCCAATGTCCATCACCCAGCCACCCCATCCTTCCCACCCCCCACCACTCTAGCAACCCTCAGTTTGTTTCCTGAGATTAAGAGTCTCTTATGGTTTGTCTCCCTCTCTGGTTTCATCTTGTTTCGTTTTTTCCTCCCTTCCTCAAGGGGCACTTCTTAGGGCAATGCCAGAAAGGATAATAAAATGTCAGATGAAATAATGAATCACCTTAGTTCTAAAACGCCTCCTCTGAGGAGAACAAAGTAATCGACACTTCAGTAAGCTGAGAACTATCATGCATACAGAAAAACATATCTTCTTACTTTGCATCTTCCATCCTCCCCTCTTTCCCTTCCTTCCTTCCTTTCCTTCACACTTTATTTAGTAAAAACTGGCGAGTGTGGGTGGGGCAGAAGCCTTGGAGGTGAATGCATCTTACCCTTTCTGCCTCTGCCCAGGTAGGTCCAATTGTTTGGTCAACATGCTAAATAAATTTCATATAAGTTAGGAGCCTATATAGCTCTAGTAAGTTTCCTTGGCTTTTTCTTTTCTTACTCAAATATGGTTGGTTATTCCACAAGGAATCCATTGTGGTCCTAACTTTTGATCAGAATTATTCTAGAATAACATACATTTTCACAAATGACCTCCTGTGCCTTGAAGAGATCATTTTCTGGATAAGCCCCTTGACTCTCTTTTTCCAAGTCTGGCAGCGTAGTTTATTGGCTTTGTTACATGAAGTTCTCGCCATTAGGAACTGAGCTAAGATCACCAAACTATTTCCCATCCATCCTTAGTGGAGCTTTGAGTCACAAAAGTAGTAGAAGGCCCAGCATGATATCTCCTCGGAAATGAGCAATCCCTTAATTAAACAGAAGTAAATAGAGGTTACAATGTGTTCCTTAATTAAATAGATGTAAATGCCCAATCACTCTGCTTTCCACACACATCAATTTTGCATCATCTCATTTTCCTGTTTGCCCAGTGGAAATGGGAATTCTGAGGCTCTATTTTGGTCAACATCTCCCAAGTGTGCCTGCCTGGCTGTGTGTTCAATCATGCATATTTACCTACTTGTTTACAGAAATCTGCAGCAAGTGTCTACTCTCCCTTCTTCGGCCAGGCTTAGGAATTGCTATGAACCTGACGTCAATGAACCATCGAAGAGAAGCAGCCCTGCCTTTGCCCAACGCAATATCATGACTCCTGCCTTGGAAAAAACATACCTGAAGATATAAGGTAAAGGGTGTGGTGTGAGAAGGGACATCTAACACAAATACTGAGCCCTCTGTGTGGCACTGGATGACCTCAGGGCAACAATGCCCCATGCCTGCTGCCCTTCTTTATATGCAGTCTCCAGTTTAGGCGAGCCCCTCCTGGATTTAGGAATATAATCCATGGAAGCTATGATGATTAATTTTGTGTGTCAGGTTTGGCTAGGCTATAGTGCCTCATTGGTCAAACGCTAGTCTAGGTGTTGCTGTGAAAGTATTTTGTAGTCGTCACTCACATTTATGATCAATTGGCTTTAAGTAAAAGAAACTACCCTCCATAACGTGGGTGGGCAAGTGAAGGCCTTAAGAGCAAAAACTGAGGTTTCCTGGAGAAGGAATTCTACTGATCAGACTGTAAGCTTCTCAGACTTGCCAGCCCCTACACCTGCCTGAGCCAATTCCTGAAAATAAATCTCTCTCTATATATGCATCCTATTGGTTCCATTTGTCTGGAGAACCCTGACTGATACAAAATCTGTCTGAATAAGATGAGAACAGCATAATTACAGTTTAGAGAAAGTAGCCCAGTCCAACCACAGCTCAAAGCAAGCTCATTGAGTGCCCTTTAAGTCACTGAGGTGGGAGGAGTGGGGTGGAAAGAAGAGAACCAAGTCCACACCATGCAAAGCATTGAGCAATTTAGGCGGCTTTCATCTCCTTGCTAGTTCCGGAGAGGCCAGCAACTTGCCATCCATGAATTGGATGGTTATCAGAGGACAACAGTGGGTTAACAACCCTTTAACTGAGTCAAACTGTTAATTGGAACAGAATCCATCTCAATTTATTCCTAGAAACAGTTCTGCTTTTCTGAGGCATTAGGAATAAATTGAGGTGGATCCTGTTCCAATTAGAATTTATGATTAAGACCATTACTTCAGGGGGACCAGCTAAGCAAAGCCATGCACATTGGAAAATCTGTATGAGTGAGGGGTCTTATACAAAAAGGTTACTTGTGAGAACAAAGTCATAACGACCCAACCTCTCTGGTGATTTCTCCCCAGTCCCCGAATTTCCAGTAAAGCGACCGACATTTGAAGGTTAGGTTCAAGGAGTATTTTTCATTGACTCACAGGATTTCAAAGCTAGAATAAACCTTTTATAAATGAGGGAGCCAAGTTCAGAGAGGAGAAATGACTTGTTCAGCAGTGACAACAACCAGGCGTGCTCTTTGATCAGCTTCCTCTCCACTTCAGCCTCAAGAGCAAAATGAGTCAAGAGTTGAAACAACTACCTCTGGGTGGCCTCCTGCTTTGTTTTTTAAAATCATTACCGAAAAGCCAATGGGCACTTTTCACTTCTGACTAGAGTCAGTGGGTAGAAGGATGACGTGCCAACCCTGGCTTTTAAGTCCAGGGTCATCATCTGAAGGGATATCTCACGCGTGGCACCTCCCATGCGCCAAGCTGTCTGAGAGTAATCTAGCCATTATGATCAGAACGCTCACTACTCACCCAGCACTGTGCTAAGTACTCTACAACACGCCTTTACAACAACCCTAGAAGGACGGTCCTGTTTTTACTCCCTATTTACACAGAGGAAACGGAGGGACAGAGAAGTTACGTAGCTTATCCAAAGGCACGGAGAAAATTAATGGCATGGCTAAGGCACGACCCTGGGCAGTGTGAGGCCAGCATCAACACTCACCACGGTGCCGGTCCAGACCAGTCCCCGCTGAATCGTGACACTTTGATCATGGTGATATTATTCTCCCCATTTGCGGATTGGAAAACCAAGGCTCAGCAAAGTGGAAGAACTAGCCTGAGATCAACGCCTCAGCTGTTTCGTCCCCAGATGCTACCGCTCCGGAGCTCTTCAGTATTCTCTCTGCGATGGTCTTCACCCTCCCATCTTCTCTCTGACTGCATGTGCGACTGAGACAAACTGATTTCCTGAATGAGTTTTTGAATTAATGTTCTGGGTGGATTAACCCAGTTCTTCCATTGTGGAGAGACCAGGTGTTTGGCCAACATCATCTCAGGCTTTAGTCCTGAGGAAAGTACATACAGGTCATTCCAGCTCGTTCCTGCTAGTGCTTCCCACACTTCCTCAAAAACGATCACAAACACAAACTGCGGAACCCCAGCCTATACTCAAGCATTTCTAAACCCCATGGAACTGGCCTAAAAAGCACCATGATTAACAAGTACCCCTGTATGATTCTGTTCCTCAGGGAAATTTGGGAATGCTGGATAAAAATGACCTTTTGCTACCTCCTTCAGCCCCCAAATTAAATGGCAGCACAATGTCAGAGAGACCTGGCTTTGAATATATGGACTTTACATAAAAAACATTTGATTTGGTCACTGCTCTGTTACTTACCAACCATACATTCTCGAATAAGTTATTTAACCTTTGATACCTCAGTGTTCTTCTCTGTAAAATGGAAATAATAATGGTGTCTACCTCATAGCCTTGTTCCCACCTAGCTCAGTACCTGTTGTGGAGGCAGGGATCAACAAATGTGAAGTATTATTTTATTTTTTTTAAGATTTTATTTATTTATTTGACAGAGAGAGACACAGTGAGAGAGAGAACACAAGCAGGGGTAGTGGAAGAGGGAGAAGCAGGCTTCCCACTGAGCAGGGAGCCCGATGTGGGGCTCGATCCCAGGACTCTGAGATCATGACCTGAGCCAAAGGCAGATGCTTAACAACTGAGCCACCCAGGCGCCCCTGAAGTATTATTTATTATTATTTCTAGTACTCCAGGAACTTACATTCCAGAGGATTTTGTATCATTAGTTCTCAGAGAGGCAATTTCAGCCTTTGGCAGTAGGTACAAGAACCAATTGGTAGGGAAGGGCTCAGGAGGCTTTAGGTACTCCTAAAATCATACCCTACACTCCTTTACGGGCAGGTAAGGCAAGGAAGAGTGCACCTAAATTCCAAGCTGTATGGGCCCCCACTTCTTCCTGGGGCACAGGGCTCACCTCTGTAGCTCCAGGTCCCATCTGAGCCTGTCAGAGTGACCACAGTTCCCATAATGACTCGGGTCAAGTCCGTTGACTTTCAAGAGCTCCCACAGGTCCTGGAAAGCAGAGAGCCAGCAAGGAGTGTCTACTTATGGCTGGGCCGTATCCTTAACCTTAAGAGTAGGAAGTCCTGGGTCTGAGCCTCTCTAGCAGCTCTCAGAAGCACTACTTCTAAGTCAGCTCAAGCCTAAACCCCGGACCTAAACCTGTAAGTGGGGTGAGGGCAAGGACTTATCCATTCATTCACTTCCATAAATTTTTTTTATTCTGTCCCTGCAATGGATCAGACCCTGTGCTAGCCCTCTGGATGCCTGGTCCTGCCCTTCAGAAGTTTACTACCTAACAAGTAACACAGACAAACAAGCAAGGGTCACACAGTGTGAGTGTTGAGTATAACGAGAGACAACCTGAGAGTGCTCAGAAAATTCTTTCCAATTCCATTTCAAACCCTCAACACAGCCCACAAGGGACTGGGTCACTTGGTTCTTGGCAACACCCACCAGCTCCATTTCACACCCCTCTCTCATTTGCCAACTGCATGCCAACCCCTAGGCTTCTTTGCTATTCAGTGAACAGACCAAGTTCTTTTTTTTTTTTTTAAAGATTTTACTTATTTGAAAGACAGAGTGAGCAAGAGAAAGAGCACATGAACAGAGGCAGAGGGAGAGGGAGAAGCAGACTCCCCCTGAGCAGAGAGCCCAATGCGGGGCTCGATTCCAGGACCCTGGGATCATGACCTGAGCCGAAGGCAGACGCTTAACGACTGAGCTACCCAGGTGACCCAAAAGACCAAGTTCTTATCAGGCTTTGGACCACACTCTGTCCCCCACCTCTGCCCCTCCTTTTGTCTAGACTTCTTAACTGTCCCTTCTGCAGTTGACCCTCAATCCCCAGACCAAAAGACTTCATCACATTTATCTTGTATCTCTAGCACTTAGCATTGCATCTACCAGAACAACATATATTTTGGCTGAGTACTGAATAATGCGTCATTGCTGCCCTTCTCTCTCCTGCCATATATCCAGGCAATAGATGTATCCACACCTCTGCTGTCACTAAAAAAACTCTTCTATCTGCTCCAAAATGTCATCCTTTTGCAAAAAAACCCCAGTATATCCTATGAAATTACAGATGTTCTCTTAGCATGAGCCAATTCAAATTCTTATTTTTGGGTTCAGTTGCCTTCCCCTAACAGAAATAATAAAGCACTACTTTAATAGGAGAAATATTTAGTCAATTTTTATAATGTTGGTTGAGGTGGACTTTTTTTTCCTAAAGATTTATTTATTTTTGAGAGAGAGAGAAAATGTGGGTGCCAGCAGGGGTTTTGGGGGTAGAGGGAGAGGGAGAGAGAGAGAATCCCAAGCAGGCTCCCCTGGCTGATGACCCTGAGATCATGCCCTGAGCCAAAATCAAGAGTAGGATGCTTAACAGACGGGGCCATGAAGGTGCCCTGGTGGTGGTGGAGTTTTAACAGGAAACCTTTTTCTTCTCATTACCCGCTGATGAGCTGGAGAAGACTGCTGAATTTTGGGGAACTTTGTGAGCTGTTAGATTCAGACACTATTAAATATCATATAAATGTATACTTACGTAAATTATATTAAAAGCAAAGGTAATAAATATGCAAAACTCATCACTCCCTATTTATTTAAAGACATTTTACTACCATCTACACTCTTGAGGTTATTTACATCTATTGTATCTGTGTGATAGGTGAATACACTGTATAACCTGCTTCTCCTTTCCTGACTCTGCATTTAGTGATATCATGTTGGGAGCTTGAAATCAACACAGTGGAAGCATTTACCAAGGAAATCAGCAAATGGTACAAACCAAACCTTATTAATTTGGAGGGGAGCGTGTTTTTAAGCATTTACCAACACATGACTGCCACTAACCAAAGATGAAGTAGCCATTCCTGATTTCCAGAAGTTTGCAATCCAGTGGCGCACGCGCGCGCGCACACACCCACACACACACATGCTCACACACGCTCACACAGTTAAGTGTGACCCAAGTCAGAATGGCTTACATTAAATGGAGCAATGGACGGTAGCCAGGAATGGGGTGGCTCGGATCTGACTGATTTGCCTTTGGATGTGGGACATAAGATGAAAAGATTCACACAGGAGACCCAGAATATCTGCTTTGCCATCTAACTGCTTTTTTTCATCCTTATTAATTCTGCAGGAAGATCCTTATGTAGGCACCAAGTTTCGGCCTGTGATCAATTCATATGCTTACCTTCAGGTGAGGTGCTTAGCTTCTCCCTCGTCAGAAGATCAATATGTACAGGTCAGACTGTTTGAATATATCAGAAGGCTGGGAATGCCTCCAAAGATGGGTGCAGAGAACCAGGCAATCACCATGGTTAGTAGTAATTTGTCCTGTTCATTCCTGGAGCTCAGTAAATGTGTATTGATTTTTCTGCAAAAGATTAGCCAATTAGAAGCAGTAACCCCCAAAACCAAGATAAAATATGAATAGTATTAAAAATATACTGGACTCATTTGTGTGATTATAAAGGCCAAAAAACTGTTAAACAATTTAAAAGATGGGTGGGGAGTTGTGAGCCACCCAAGCTGCTAGTAGAAGAGAGGATGCTAGGTTTTGTTCCCCCAGCACATCCTTAATGGGGCTGTCAAGGTTGCTTTGTTGAACTTTAAATAGTTTTATTCCAATTTAACCTGTCTGTAGCACTTGTTTAAGAGAAAAAGGTCAGCCATTTTCAGTGTTTTAATTATATGTACAAACCTGTGTGTGTGTGTGTAGATAGATATAGATATAGATATAGATATAGATATAGATATGCGTGAATCAGGGAGTGAAAGGAGAAGATACTAAGGGACAAGTGAAGAGGAGAGAAAGGAGGGAGCAAAAGGAAAGAAGGGAAGACAGGGAGCGGAGAAAAAGAGGCAGGAGGGCGGGGAGGGGAGAGATGGCAGAGGGAGAAGGCGGGGAGGTAGAGAGCCGTGGATCAGGTTCGGGGAGGAACAGCGGTCTAGAGTCGAATCCCAGCGCTGCCACAGGCATCACTCTTCCAACCTCAGTCTCGGTTTCCTCATCTGTAAAATGGGATGAGACGGCCTACACTGCAGGGGTTTTCAGAGAACTCCATGAGCGTGCCTGTGCAAAGCTCAGTCCCGGTGCGCCCGCTTCGAAGTGTCCGCGCCGGGGTGTCTGCTGGGGGTGGGAGAGGTTGGGGGCGGGCTTCCGTGCCTTTTTCAAAGGACGCAGTTTCTCCACTCTGTCCTCTGCTTGGCCTCCCTTGAAAACCGAGCCCAAGCATCCACCCACTCAAAAAGGCAGCACGGCGTCGGGCACCAGGGCGTTCTGCTGGAGAGGGCGAGCGCGCCGAGCGTTCCAGGCGCTCCACCCGCCGGGCGGCGCGCCGCGGAGGCACGGGCAACCACCAGTGAACTTCCCACAAAGACAGTTTGCATCACCCGGATCCCAATCCATAACCTTTACTGGTCTCTGTAGAGTCATTACGACCATTAGGCTGTGGACTCAGCACTGCTTTAGCTCTTAAGTTAATACAACCGAGACTTTTTTACTTTCCTATTGGGAAGGCACATGTGCAATTTTAGTGATTTCTTAGATCATTCCATAAGTAAATCAAATATTCTTTCAAGCCCAGTTATCAAAATTGTGTCCTTTGATACCACGTCTTCCATCAAATTGCAGTAATCCAGATCAACACATTTTAAACCTCTGCTATCTCCTAATATCATCCCTACTAGATAGAGTAATTAAATTTGTACTTTTTTTTACAAGTCGTACTCAATAAATCTGAATAAATTAACAACGCATTACTAAGACTGCTACATTAAATTTGCATAGTGCATTTAATGAATATGCAGCTGCAAGTGAAAAGGTCTGCTACTGCGAACCTTCTACATTAGCATAACTACTTCCAGCATGTTTCTTAAATAATGCACTCATTTGCACATCACTGACTTGGCTAATTCTAACTTCAGTCAGGGTAGCCTTGTAATTAAGACTCTTGCTTTAATTTTTAATGAAGTTTATGTTACATCAATCCTGACAGTAATGAGGGGACATGGAAACAAAAAGGCTGCTAATAATTAAATTCACAAACCAGTTTGAGGGATAATAATTCCTGAGGAGAAATTACATGACTAATTATTAATTAAATATTCATACTATTGCACAGCCATCTCACTTAACTGCTCTTCTTGTTGGTAATAATATTGAGATGTGGATGCCTTTTGCCAACCATTCGGAGTTTAAGGTCTCTGGTTAATTTTAGTGCACCATTAATCAATATGACACAAAAAATAAAATTGTTTTAATTGGTATCATTTTATTGTGTCTAAATATTACTACAGTTGGTTTAGTTTGTGGAGAATTAATCTAGTTAGTCGGTGCCTGTTTTATGGAAACATAAATCCAGTTTATATCCATAAACATCTAATGGCAGGACAACTTGACCTTTTTTTTTGTAACATTACTGTTTACAGATAATTACACCAACTCTTTAAAAGGTTATTTAATAGCTTTGCATTCATCACAGTGAAATGAAAAACATGCAATATTATTTAACTCCAGCCTGTTCTGAGGAGGTCTCTGAGACCCCCATTTACCCCCGCTGAAAAGTAAGCAATATTAATGTGTGGGTTTTTAGGAAATGTATGAGAGCTTTCTTTGAGTGTGTACAAACAGATTTACATGTTTGGGTCTGCATATTTGAATGTCTAATTCATAACTGAAATGGGGTCTGGTTAGGAAGAAGGTATTTCCCATATTCACAACTTTCCATTGCAGGAAAACACAAGGATGGAGTTTTGATGATTCTGGATGTTAGAAATGGCAACAGTTTCCCTACAAAACCCGGTAAACAAACATTACAAAACCAGAGAAATTGCTATGATGAAGCCTAATTGGCTGTAATATTTATTGTAGACATGCTTATTTTTTTTCCTTCCGTTTTCTAAATGGTATTTAAGTGTCTGCATTTACAACACTGAAGTCTCCATCCGTGGGCAAGTTTACCAAGGACGAGAAAAGATTTACAATATTTAAGTGGATAACATTAATCATTACATTAAAACAGATCATGGCATTTGTTTAAAGCTCTGATAGATTCCGGACAAAATGCTTCATGGAGACCATTATGCATATTATAAAATTAAATAGACACAGAAAAGGGAACTTTTTATCCTGCAGGGGCATTTGGAAATTCTGAGCCAGGGCAAATATTTCATTTCGTCTTTCTAATAATTCAAACTAGTTGATTCATCAAACTGAACCAAGTCTATGACCATAAACCATGGGGCAAGGATTCCCCTCAGCTACTCTTGTCATTTTACTACAAACTGACAGGTTTGTAGGGCATTATTACTGGGCCTGATGTGTATCAATCGCTCCCTTTTACTAAATCTTAAAAATCTTTTTAACTTTTTTTATCTGTTCTCTTAAACTAACACCTGAAGGCAATTTGAAAAGACCACTCACCAGGAAATAGTTTACTGGCGTGGGTCAGTATAAAGATGTCACAGCAAGTCCTGGGTCCCTGGTCCCGTTTTTTGACTCCTTCATTTGAGGAAATCCTTCTGTGTGAGAAACCCTACTTGAGTAGCAGAAAGTCCTCCAAACTGGGTGAAGTGAAGATCACGGAAGTGTCCAGGCTTGCTGGTTAAAAACTCTGGGGTAAAAACAAAACAAAACAAAAACTCTGGGGTACTTGTTGGGGAGGAACCCACAGAGTCCTGCCTCTTCCTCCATTCACTGCCACATGCATGACGTACGTGTACCAGGTGTGGTAGGTTGAGGAAACCAACCCGCATCAAAGAGACCAGCTGACCAGAAGGACCCTATCATCTCCCTGTAAAGGGAAGCAGCCAGAATGCCAGAAAAGGTTAGTGCTTGGAAGCCAGACACACCTAGATTCTAATCTCCCTCGGCCTTAGTGAATAGCATTAATTACTTCATCTATCCAAATCACAGTTTTCTTTTCTGAAGGGGATGATCATCCCCCTTGGCAGGTTGTTGGGAGAACTAGTCATACACACAGTATTTAGCACTGTGCCAGGCTCATGAGAGACTGCACAAAATGCCAGTGATGATTATCACTGTTATTTCTTCCAAGCAAGATTGTCAGAAATTTAACCATTAGAGAGGCACTCCTTTGGCATAAACACTACCATCTTAGGCTTCTTTTTATTTTTATTTATTTATTTTTAAAGATTTTATTTATTTATTTGAGACAGAGAGCACATGAGAGGGGGGAGGGTCAGAGGGAGAAGCAGACTCCCTGCCGAGCAGGGAGCCCGATGCGGGACTCGATCCCGGGACTCCAGGATCATGACCTGAGCCAAAGGCAGTCGCTTAACCAACTGAGCCACCCAGGCGCCCCATTAGGCTTCTTTTTAAAAATGCAAATTGTATAACTTAAAAAAGGGATACCAGATAAAGCCAGAACTGGTCACCAAAGCCTTGTGTGAATTAATGTACAGCTCCCTTTTTTTCTGTATCAGAGGCATATAAGGCAATAATTGAGAGGTGAGTTAGATTAATGGAGGGAGGGGTACTGACATGATAAAAGAGGATGTAGAAAGGGGAGATGGAACTGATGAGGCAGAGAGGTTATCTATGTCTAGGCTGTTTAACCACCAAGGTATATTATAAGAAATTTCAAGGAAAAACAAAGACCTACCCTGTGGATGTGGATTTCAATGTTCTTTACTGTTAGCCCTGCAAATCATAACTATTAAGGCCATAATGATCATGCATCCCTACTCTTCTAGAACAGCTTAATTTTATTTATTCTGTCTCATATCTATCAGGACTTGGTTGGTTGAGGGGAGAGGGAAGAAGTGGTCGATGCTATAAAATAGTCCCTATCTAAAGGTTTATTTTGTGATGGAATTCCAGAAAAAAGAGAGCACACTGTCTCAGAAAATATTTAATGAGCATCATCAGATACCTGTCTTAAATACCAAGTGTCCAAAGGATAGAACTTTTCTCCCATGTCTCTTTTCCACACTCTATAATAAATGTCTGAGAAAGCACCACACAGATCCTTACCTGTAGCCATAACCAGGGTCTAGTAGATGGAGGAAAATTTCTGGTGTGTGGCTCTCTCTGGTTCTTCTGTAGGAAGGCAGTGAATGGAGAAACCTCAGATGTTGAGTTAGACAAATTCTAGCTCCTTCACTTTACTAGCCGTGTGATCTGGACAACTTGGCTGACCTCTCCAAGCCTCGCGTGTAACATGAGGAGAGCACCATGTACTCCCTAGGATGATGTTGAGGGTTAAATGACATATGTATGAAAAGGCTCAGGTGCTCAGTAACTGTACATAATGACCCTTTTTCGCTATCCCAGAATCAAGCCAAAATCTCCTTATGGGGCATGACGACTCATTGCTGGAGGAGGTTTACATATGGATTTCAAAGTTCCTGAGGCTGGTTCTATAATATGACATTTACCATGTTGTTGTTTCTTTTTCCTTTGATCAGTCATCCCAGATTTTAGAGGTCAGCTCTTATTCCAATTCTGCAGTCCAACAGTCTGCTTAAATTGTTATGAGGATTAAAAGAGATTGTATTTGGGGGCGTCTGGGTGGTTCAGTCTGTTGAGCATCTGTCTCTTGATTTTGGCTCAGGTAATGATCTCAGGGTCCTGGGATGGAGCCCCACGTTGCGCTCTGCGCTCAGAGCAGTCTGCTTAAGATTCTCTCTCCCTCTCCCTCTGCCCCTCCCCCTACCTGTGCAGGCGCTCACACACTCTCTCTCTAAATAAATAAATAAATCTTAAAAAAAAAAAAAAAGAGTTTGGGGCACCTGGGTGGCTCAGTCAGTTAAGCGTCTGCCTTCAGCTCAGGTCATGATCCCAGGGTCCTGGGATCGAGTCCCGCATCGGGCTCCCTGCTCAGCGGGAAGCCTGCTTCTCCTTCTCCCTCTGCCTGCTGCCCCCCTGCTTATGCTCTTTCTCTCTCAAATAAATAAATAAAATCTTAAAAAAAAAAAAGTTCATATTTATGAAACAACAGTGTCTGGTACATAGTAACTGTAAATAAACAAACGTTTTAAAACCATGCTCTAACAGTGTAACCCCTAAAAACATATCCATTCTCACCTGAACCCCTCTTTCCCCTGCTCAGCACACTTCATTATCACTAAATGGCAGATACATGCAATTGCCAGCTCTGTGCCTTTGTAAGTGCTGTTTCCTTTGCCTTCAATGACTTTCTCCTTCTACTTGACCACCTATCAAACCCTTATTCATACTTCCAAACCCCGCTAAACACCTACTTCTTCCACAGAGCCTTCCCTCATAGCTCCTTCTCTCTTGTCACTTTCTTCTCTATGCTTCCTCTATAGCGTGCCCACACTTCTGTTATACTTTGCACATCATACTATAAATAATCTATTTACGCTTCTACTAAGGAAGGACTGTGCAAGATTTTTGTACCCCCAGCTCCTAGTACACCACAAGGCACTTATTGGCACTCCTCAGATTATTTGTTGAATCACATTGAATTTATGTGACAAATAGCAATTCCATGTTAATATTTATAAACCTTCAATACACTTTTCACAATAATGGAGTATTTAGTGAATAAAGCTTTTTTTCTCTTCTTCTTTTTCTTTTTTTAATCAAGAGGCAAAAAGTCCACACTAAGATGAGAGTAGATGAGAGTAGAGATGGGGGTGGGGAGAGGCGCGGAGGAAAGTGATTGTTCAATTATAAATGGCAATTTACTACAGGATAGGATCAATTCAGAATGAATTAGGTCATTGGCATTATCAATGGTTATTTGGTAACAAATCTAAAATTCCTGTCTGAATTTTAATTAAAAGAACCACTAAATATCCCTAGTCAGTTGGCACATACGTACAATTTTTTGTTCAGTTATAAAATTGTCTGTCATGATGCTGAGAATCTCCTGAACCCAAAAGGCTGTAATACAGGCTATAATGTTGACATCCGTCCTCCTTCAACAAATTTACATGTGGTATTTCTCATCATAAGGTAGGTGCTCACTGTCAAAGTCACCGGGTGTGGGGAGTGCTCACTGTGGCCTGTATTGAAACTGTAGCCTCCCACTCTATTCTTGGCCTCCTTACTCCTGCAGTCAGAAAAGTACAAACTATTCCAGCTTGGCTCACCTCTCCTTGATTTGTCTGTCTCCCTGTAAAGCCCTGTTGAAATTCACAGTTTTTATGAAATTTACTAATTTATTAATTTAATTCATTTATTATGATTCATATATTTTATATATATATCCCTTTCCCTCCCCCAGTACAAAGATTCCTACTCTGAATCCTCTCTCTGATCAATCCTGCCCACCCAATGTTGTCCTCCTTCCTTTACTCACTATAACAAAAGTATTTGCTTATTTTATTTCATAATTTTGGTAATACCATTTGTAATGGTTGTATAATGTATGCTAGACTGTCATAATTTACTTAAATATCCTGTCATTGGTTGAACACTTGGGTGGTTCTAATTCTTCACTGTTAGGAATGGTACTATAATAAAAATTTTGGAGCATGAACCTTTTTTATTTTATTTTTTTGAAGATTGTATTTATTTATTTGACAGAGAGAGAGACAGTGAGAGAGGGAACACAAGCAAGGGGTGGGGGAGAGGGAGAAGCAGGCTTCCTGCAGAGCAGAGAGCCCGATGCGGGGCTCGATCCCAGGACCCCGAGATCATGACCTGAGCCGAAGGCAGACGCTTAACGACTGAACCACCCAGGCGCCCCATGAAACCTTTTTTAAACTTTTACTATTTTTTCCCTTAGAATACGGTCCAAGTGGTGGTGATTTTGATATTTTATTTCCTTGGGAAAAAGCTTTATCTTCCATTAAAACTCAAGCATTTCACACACATTCATGAAGGCATTTGATTTTTTATTGAGAGGGGTGAGTGACAGAAATGATATCCTCTTAAAGGGCATTTTCTTTACGTTTCCCTTCTTTCTCTCCGTTTTCTTATTTTCCCCTCAGAATCTACTTAGAAGTCAAAAGAGACAGACCAAAGCACAAACCTGAGGAGAACACCGTCAGGGCTGCTGCGTGAGCACTCTAGTTATGGGCAAGCTACTTTACCTCTTGACCAGATCCTCCCCTTTGGTCAAATTGTCTCAAGATCCCATCCAGTGTGAAATATCTTTGAATCCATAAACCCGCACTTCCTCTGCTTTGCCCCAGCCCTCCTTCTTCAGGTGCATGCCTCTCTGCTTTCATAATCAGCAACTAAAAAGTTCGATCTGTTGTAACTGAGTAAATAAGTAAATAACTAAATAAACTACTCTTAAGAAAAACCCTGGGTAAATGCTACATTATACCCAAGTTCCTTTTCTACTTCTTCCCCCGGGACAGGTAAATTAAGGTTCCGTAAGGTTTTCTGGAAAGTTGACAATGCCTACTTTTATAGGACATGGTGTCTCATTTTATTTTGCAAAGGTACTCCTATGCCCTAAAAGGTTTAGGATTAAATTCTCAGAATGGTTCTGCCTTTGGTAGTCTTAGTTTTTCAGAAATCATACCCCCCATTTTTCAAATCATGACAATAAAAATAACTCCCAGTTGCCTCCTATTTTATAATTTGGAAAGCATTTCTACATTGGTTATCCCACTTATTCTTCCATACAAATCTATGAGTGCTCATCCTTACGTTATGAAGGAGGAAACAGATTTTAGAGTTACCTGCCTAAGACATGACAGCCAGACCCCTTGAACTTGGATCCAATGAGTCCAGATTCAGTGTTATTTTTCTGGCATAGATCTACCTGGAAAGCAACCAAATACAAGGTGAACAAGATAAACTCGTATTTATTCAGACTTCAGAAATCTTCTTAGGAAATAAGATATTTTAATTTGGGGAAATTTACAGTTCTTTTCAAGATTAATTAGAAAATAATCTCACTTTACTCTATTAAACATGAACCTATATAATAAGAAAGATAATAGTTTACATAATTTAACTTAAAAATACCTATTGAGAATTCACTATGTGCTATACCATGTTAAACACATTATATATGAATTATTATCTCAATTAGTCCTTATATATCAGCTCTTTGAGGAAGGAATCAATACTATTCCTATTTTACAGAGAAGCAAAC